ATGGATTTTTAAAGTTGCTACAAAATCAGGCAAAAGTCCCTGTACTATACTACAGGGTCACTGGCCAAATTTCGCCAAAATAAAAAAAAAAGAAAATTCTCTACTTTTATAATTTTTTCTGATGCATATACATGTTCTTATGTTGTGTAGAAGGTTTGAGCTGATTCCAATCAAATTTAGATTTTTACGAATTTTTAAATTTGCATTTACTAGTTCTCTGAGCAAGATGTGATGGTTCCATGGCATCTTCAGCCCCACTACTCACCTGGTCATGATCCTACACATTCTGCAAAAAAGAAAAAAGAGAAAAGGAGAAGGGGAAAGTCTAAACAATCCAAGACTAAAATAGAGAGAGGTACACAATTATAACTTGTAGCAAAAGATTGTCACATTTTAGGAAAAGGTATGGAAGATATTGATCATGAAAAAACTGATTCTTCATCACACGACAAAGTAGTTTCCTCCAGTGACTTGTTAAGGACTCCTAGCCCCACCTCTTTATTAATGCCTACTACTTCAAATATTGTTGAACCAGTTCCTTTGTCAAAAGATAATGACGTTTCTGTATCTTCTCCACATGTTCCTGGTGATGATAGACATGCTTTTGATCTGCAGCAACATGGCTTTAGGACTTTCTATCGTTACTATCATGTGTTTGTGGATAAGGAGCTGATAGAGTTGTGTAAGAGAGTTCCCTCATTAAAGATACTGGACTACTGGTATGATCATGATAACTGGTGCCTACTAGCACAGAAACTAGACTGAAATAGATTTATAACAATTATAAATCAAAAAGATAAAAGTATATATATAATGCTAATAGAAAAATACAACAGCGTATCTACATGTACAATAAATTTTTTGACAGCTCTGGTTTGTAAAAACTAATTGTGTTATTCATTGCTACTCAAATGTTCAATAACAAGTTCAGCTACAGAAGTAGCTTTGATGGTATCAGATCGTAATACCTCAATGACGGTCTTCCATTTGAATGTGTTGGGATGAGATTGACTCCATTTATAAAACACTTGATTGAACCTTTCTTGGCATGTTGGATAGTCTTTGTCTAGTCCTCTCAGGTAGCCTTCATTTAGACCAACAGTGATCCCAAACAAGTGATACTTGTC